TTGCCTAGTTCGGATTGTTAGTAAAACAAATATCAAGTGGAAACATATTTTTTATAGTGCGTTTACAAACTTGTGCTATGTTCAAACAATTATTTCCCAGCTGTTGGGGAATATAAGTAGATGAAATTCATCATCATCATTCTGTAACACTGCTTTTCGCTGGGTCACCAGTTTCTGTTGACTGTTTGATCTGCTCTCTTCACCTTTGGTGGTCAGTTGCGATGGACTTCATGGCTGAGGCCTGTCCAGTCAGTCAGGTTGTGTAACCAGATCTTTCTTCATCTGCCTCTTCTGCTCTTTCCCTCTACTGAGCCCTATAGTATTGTTTTTGAGAGGCCGTTAGATCTTATTACATGTCCATACGATTATATTTTTCGCCTTTTCACTGTAGTTAAAAGTGGTCCATGGCTGACAATGTGCTGTACAATTGTATGGTGAACTTGCAAGTTTGTAATGTGGTCTCTGTATGATATGCCAAGAATTTTTCTTAAACATCCTATTTCTAATGCTTGCATTTTCCTTTCGAGTGCAGCTGTTAAAGTCTAGGTTTCACAGCCATTTCTATATATACTAATAGCTATTGCTCCGAGGAATCGAATCTTAGTTTTGCATAAAATTTTCCTGGATCTCTATAAAGTTTGCTGCTTGGCAACGACTAATGTTGTCTGGGCAATTATAGATAAGATTTCTTTTTTTGACCCAAGGTTATTCAAAATGGATCCTAAATATTTGAAATGACTGGCTTGTTCTAATTTACGACCTTTAACGTACATTGGTGAAGTTATGCCGGCTGAATTATTAGTCATTTCTTTTGCTTTTTTTGCGTTTTTTTTTTTTTATGCCATACTTGGTCCATGTTTCATCAAGCAGATTTACAAGCTCCACTAGATCGTGTTCTTTCGCTGCCAAATCATCGATGTCATCTGCAAATCTGAAGTTTGTCATAGTTTAACATCCTTTTCCGACCATGATGTTGTTCCAGGGCGTCAGACATATTTCTTGCTAAGAAAATATTAAACAGTGTTGGAGAGAGAGGAGGCAGCCGTGACGAACTCCTACTGTTGTTTGGAACCAGCTCCCGATTTGTCCGTTCAGTGTGACAGCACTACTGTAGGGCAGTGGCTTCTCTCGCCTGCTGATTTGGCCTAAAATGGTATCAGGAAACATCATGGGAAGGAAAGACGGTCTGTGTGGACTGCACAATAAAAAAAAAATGCGCCTAGCATTAGTCGTGCAGACGTGGAGAAAACAGGAAGATGGCGGTCAGGCAACCTCTTCCCACTATATATATTTGATAGGTCAGAAGGGGGGAGGCGTACGGGATCTAATCCCAATTTTAATGAAAAATAATAATAGTAATAATGCGCTAAACGGTAAGTAAATATAACGATACATGCAAAAAAATGTTTAGTGTATAAACAAATGCCTGTGAAGAAAATATCTATGCATGGTATACAGGCAGCAGGTTAACCTACTTATAAAATTGAAGGGCCCGGCTCTCTAGCGTAGTTGGCTAAACTGAACTGCGCGGTGACCGGGTGACGAACTCCTTGTGGTCCGGGTTCACGGGCGAGGGTAGGCATAAAAGCCACATTTCTCCCAGTTTTACGGTATTTATCATGGAATAAAGGCCGAAAGGTTGCGATATCCATAATACCGAGCCTAAGGGTTAACAACTCATGGCTTCTGGATACTAAAACAAAAAACAAAAACAAAAAAAATTAAAGGAGAGGGGGCTGCGTGGTCTCGAGCGGTGTGTTCCGCCTCGAGTGCTAGAGATTTCGGGTTATATTCCCGGTAAGGGCTAGGATTTTTTTTTCACCAGGACTTGGACTTCTGAAAAATACCTATTGTTTTGAAATACTTCTGAACAGGCCAACCCCAGAGATCCCTCCAGATATCGAGCCTTTAGAAATGGAACTGGATATCAATCGTGATATACGAACTAAAGAGGAAATTAGGAAAGCTATCAAGCTTCTGAAGGAAGGAAAGGCTGCAGGTCCAGATGGTATCACAGCAGAAGTTCTTAAGGCCAATATAAGGATAGATAGATTAGACAGACAGACAGACAGACAGACAGACAGACAGACAGACAGACAGACAGACAGACAGACAGACAGACAGACAGACAGACAGACAGACAGACAGACAGACAGACAGACAGACAGACAGACAGACAGACAGACAGACAGACAGGCAGACAGGCAGACAGGCAGACAGGCAGACAGGCAGACAGGCAGACAGGCAGACAGGCAGGCAGGCAGGCAGGCAGGCAGGCAGGCAGGCAGGCAGGCAGGCAGGCAGGCAGGCAGGCAGGCAGGCAGGCAGGCAGGCAGGCAGGCAGGCAGGCAGGCAGGCAGGCAGGCAGGCAGGCAGGCAGGCAGGCAGATAGACAGATAGACAGATAGACAGATAGACAGATAGACAGATAGACAGATAGACAGATAGACAGATAGACAGATAGACAGATAGACAGATAGACAGATAGACAGATAGACAGATAGACAGATAGATAGATAGATAGATAGATAGATAGATAGATAGATAGATAGATAGATAGATAGATAGATAGATAGATAGATAGATAGATAGATAGATAGATAGATAGATAGATAGATAGATAGATAGATAGATAGATAGATAGATAGATAGATAGATAGATAGATAGATAGATAGATAGATAGATAGACAGATAGACAGATAGACAGATAGACAGATAGACAGATAGACAGATAGACAGATAGACAGATAGACAGATAGACAGATAGACAGATAGACAGATAGACAGATAGACAGATAGACAGATAGACAGATAGACAGATAGACAGATAGACAGATAGACAGATAGACAGATAGATAGATAGATAGATAGATAGATAGATAGATAGATAGATAGATAGATAGATAGATAGATAGATAGATAGATAGATAGATAGATAGATAGATAGATAGATAGATAGATAGATAGATAGATAGATAGATAGATAGATAGATAGATAGATAGATAGATAGATAGATAGATAGATAGATAGATAGATAGATAGATAGATAGATAGATAGATAGATAGATAGATAGATAGATAGATAGATAGATAGATAGATAGATAGATAGATAGATAGATAGATAGATAGATAGATAGATAGATAGATAGATAGATAGATAGATAGATAGATAGATAGATAGATAGATAGATAGATAGATAGATAGATAGATAGATAGATAGATAGATAGATAGATAGATAGATAGATAGATAGATAGATAGATAGATAGATAGATAGATAGATAGATAGATAGATAGATAGATAGATAGATAGATAGATAGATAGATAGATAGATAGATAGATAGATAGATAGATAGATAGATAGATAGATAGATAGATAGATAGATAGATAGATAGATAGATAGATAGATAGATAGATAGATAGATAGATAGATAGATAGATAGATAGATAGATAGATAGATAGATAGATAGATAGATAGATAGATAGATAGATAGATAGATAGATAGATAGATAGATAGATAGATAGATAGATAGATAGATAGATAGATAGATAGATAGATAGATAGATAGATAGATAGATAGATAGATAGATAGATAGATAGATAGATAGATAGATAGATAGATAGATAGATTTAAGGCTGGGTCGACCAGGGAGAAACAGTCATATTTGAAGAAAGTCAGGCTCCATCAGTACCTGAAGCCATGACCTTCGGGACGATGTTCGCGATAACTATTACATCAAACGACCTATAAGTCTAGTGCTTAAACAATATGAGCTTATGATGTAAGCACGCCTTGAAGTCTAAGACAAATATAGGTTTAAATAAGTCAATAAACGGCCATACAAAAACTACCGTGTCCTTTCGAAGAATTGTAATCATTCAAATAGTGGAACTAGTAGGAAGAATGTCCCAGTAATAGGGAGCTGGAGAAGACACTAATGAAAATCGGAGATCTAGTTAGAAGCTCATTATTTGGTAAATTGGACGAGATACAAGCTTATCATAGCAAGTACAAGCGAAAGATTGGGTATAGTCAAGACTCGTTGAAGACAGTATTGTAAATTATACTTGCGAGCATTGAAAACATTAGTTAACCGGAAGCTAACAAGAACTCAATCGTTTTGGCCAAAAAAGCCCAGATTTTCGAAGCACGGCTCTGTTTGTTTGTTTGTTTTAGTATCCAGAAGCCATGAGTTGTTAACCCTTAGGCTCGGTATTATGGACATCGCAACCTTTCGGCCTTGATTCCATTTTAAATACCGTAAATCTGGGAGAAATGTGGCTTTCCTGCCTACCCCCGGGATTGAACCCGGACCACAAGGAGTACGTCACCCGGTCTCCGCGAAATCCGGTTTAGCCAATTCCGCTAGAGAGCCGGGCAAGCACGGCTCTAAAGAGGCATACTGTCTACTTCTTCGAGTTCACCGACTGTAAACTCCCGCGGAAATTTGTGGTTGTTCGTCCAGTTCTGGACTTGAGGCTTGTTATAGAACCTAAACGTTTTACAGATCAGAACCATTTGCATGCAGATTGTTGGTTCTTTGTCGTTCATTAGTCGACTCTCACGACATGCTTGTTGGGGAGGCAGTGGGTCTATTCTGCCCCCTTTTCCTTCCCCACACACAGAAGGGAGCCCTGGAACCCACTCGGGGAAAGGCAAAATTAAATCTAAAAACAAAAAAAAATATTGGACGAACGAAGCAAAAGACGAAACAGTTGACAACTAAGTTTAATCTGGATCACTATGTCATATCAAATACACAAAACGCAGATCTTATGTGAATAGTAAACAAGCGTTGGAAGCAATTGTGTGGAGGCATTACACGGATCACATAATTATAAGTACAATTGTATGAGGCAGTACAAAGATCACATAATTATAAGTACAGTTTATGAGGCAGTACAAAGATGACATAATTATAAGTACAATTGTATGAGGCAGCACAAAGATCACATAATTATAAGTACAGTTGCGTGAAAGCAGTACACGGATTACATAATCATAAGTACAGTTGTGTTAAGGCAGTACCTGTTTCTCATAATTATAAATGCAGCTATGATGAGGCAGTATCTGGATCCCATAATGACAAGTGTAGTTATGTGGAGACAGTACCTGGATCCCATAATGACAAGTGTAGTTATGTGGAGGCAGTACCTGGATCCCATAATGACTAGTGTAGTTATGTGGAGGCAGTATCTGGATCCCATAATGACAAGTGTAGTTATGTGGAGACAGTACCTGGATCCCATAATGACAAGTGTAGTTATGTGGAGGCAGTACCTGGATCCCATAATGACAAGTGTAGTTATGTGGAGGCAGTATCTGGATCCCATAATGACTAGTGTAGTTATGTGGAGGCAGTACCTGGATCCCATAATGACAAGTGCAGTTATGTGGAGGCAGTACCTGGATCCCATAATGACAAGTGTAGTTATGTGGAGGCAGTACCTGGATCCCATAATGACAAGTGCAGTTATGTGGAGGCAGTACCTGGATCCCATAATGACAAGTGTAGTTATGTGGAGGCAGTACCTGGATCCCATAATGACAAGTGCAGTTATGTGGAGGCAGTACCTGGATCCCATAATGACAAGTGTAGTTATGTGGAGGCAGTACCTGGATTCCATAATGACAAGTGTAGTTATGTGGAGACAATACCTGGATCCCATAATGACAAGTGTAGTTATGTGGAGGCAGTATATGGATCCCATAATGACAAGTGTAGTTATGTGGAGACAATACCTGGATCCCATAATGACAAGTGTAGTTATGTGGAGGCAGTATATGGATCCCATAATGACAAGTGTAGTTATGTGGAGGCAGTACCTGGATCCCATAATGACAAGTGTAGTTATGTGGAGGCAGTATCTGGATCCCATAATGACTAGTGTAGTTATGTAGAGGCAGTACCTGGATCCCATAATGACAAGTGTAGTTATGTGGAGGCAGTACCTGGATAACATAATTATACATGAAGATGTGTGCAGGCAGTACATAGACCGATATTTATAAATGAAGTTGTGTGCAGGCAGTACATTGACCGATATTTATAAATAAAGTTGTGTGCAGGCAGTATATTGTTTGTTTTAGTATCCAGAAGCCATGAGTTGTTAACGCTTAGGCTCAGTATTATGGATATTAGTATTATGGAAACCTTTCGGCCTTAATTTCATTGTAAATACCGTAAATCTGGGAGAAAAATGTGGCTTTTCTGCCTACCCCGGGAGTGAACCCGGACCACAAGGAGTTCGTCACCCGCTCACCGCGCAATCCGGTTTAGCCAACTACGCTAGAGAGCCGGGCGCAAGCAGTATATAGACCGATATTTATAAATAAAGTTGTGTGCAGGCAGTACTTGGACCGATATTTATAAATGAAGTTGTGTGCAGGCAGTACTTGGACCGATACTTATAAAGGATGTTGTGTGCAGGCAGTTCATAGACCGAGAATTATAAATGAAGTTGTGTGCAGGCAGTACTTGGACCGATAATTGTAAGTGCAGTTTTATGGAGACAGTAAATGCACCGATAATTTCAACAAAGAAGACACAAACAATAGATTGCACAATTTATCGCGTGGCATATTTCGCGGTATCTCATCAGGTGCATACTACAGTAACAATTATATAAATGAAGCGAATAAGTGAATCCTTTATAACTGAAGTACAATTTCAACAACGATCAAACATGACTGCCTGTTTTTACCAGGACAGCCGTAAAGATAGAACCATACCTTTCTATTATGTGTACAGTAGTACGACAGCAGATAATTTGGGTCTATAACTTAAAGTGCATTTATGTGAAGACAGTGCTGTACTTAGGACCGATAACTCCGTAAGTTTACGAATAGAGCATATTTATTCGACCTATAAGTGTTTAAGAGCAGGGACCAGTATTTAAAACTGGTATTTCTAACTTAGTGTTTTCCCCCTGATATAAATTACCGTTTAAAGATCGTTCTCTTTGCAGAGCAACACATTATGCTGAGACAGTCCCACAAAACATTTGTTCCGTGTCTCCAGCAGTCATATTCTGTCCCAAATTTCTGATGAAAATGTATTTATATAGCTTGTTTATGATGGTCTGCATTGATCACTAGTTTTGAAACTTGTTCTCACAAGGACCAAATCACAATCTTTTCCCGTTGAGCTTCACGACCATTTGCCATTTCTTCTTCCCCCAGACTCCATTCATCACAGCTTGGAGCTTTTCGCCAATAAAACTGCCTAGCACTATCAGACATTCGACATTCCTTCCCGCGAGATCTTTCAGCATCGGCTCAAACTCCTGTCGTCTCCCCAGAGAATGGCACTCGCTCTCACGCGGTCCATCAGCGCTATCGTCAGTTCCTCGGTAATGGACTTTAATTATACAAGAATCCCTAGAAGCCTCGGAGATAGCTGGTGAGAGAAGCACACGAGACTACCTCCAGGATCAAGCGGTAAATTAGTTATGACGCAACGGTAATGAGTGACGTCCTGAACATACGTCAATCTACCGGGTCATTCCGGGCCTGACAGGTGAAAGTTCCGACTCCCTTCCACCTTGAGAACTCACGCGTGGCACTTCTAATTAGAATCCTCAATCACGAGACTTTATTTATGCCTCCTGTCTTGTTTATTTGAAGAAAGTAGCATTTGTTGTTCTGACCCTTATCACTCAAGATTGCACTCCCAGCTCACTCTGCCTTAACAATCTAAGTCTTCAAAGTTGAAACGAGGTGGGAAACAAAAATTAAGATTTGAGTGTTTATTTTAAAAAAAAGAGTTAAAGGGATGTTTCTTCCCGGTGTTTTAATGGTTTGTACACCTGATTGTTTGGCTGGTGAGGTCGATTAAGTTAAAGCTTCCTTCGAAGTCAAAGTACACCTGTTGATGAGGCAATGAACCAAAAATCTACTTGCAAATAAGTCAGACCTGTGAAACTGATGTACACTCAGTTTCTGGAACAAGACTAAAGTCCAGAAGTGGACGAACAGCCACAACTCTCTGCCGGTGAATGCTGGGAAGAAGACCACTAAGAGTAGCCAGACATGAACATTTCACTACAGGCACATGACGTCTGGACACGATGTTTGGACACGATGTTTGGACACGATGTTTGGACACGATGTTTGGACACGATGTTTGGACACGATGTTTGGACACGATGTTTGGACACGACGTCTGGACACGATGTTTGGACACGGCGTCTGGTTAACCAACACAGAGCGAGCGTGGTCAATGATTTTACTTGTGTGGAGCTATTCGGGAGGAGATGGGAGCATCTATGGATGTTTGCAGAGATACTAGTCCTTAAAGACAAAACTGTATGGTACACGAGAGGATATGGATTGCACGATAGCTTTCATAAAGGCTACCGGCCTCCTGATATAAGTTTTCTGACAGAAGGATCGAAGAAGAAGAACTGATCACTCACCGACTTGTGGTCAAAATGGACGCTAGGCGGGCCACTGTTTGAAGCCGAGGCAAATTTTTTTGCTTTTGTCGGACTGTGGCCGATGTTATTTTGTTCCCTTTATAGACTGGATATAGTTTCATCACCCAGCTTCTGAGATGAATGCATGGCGTGACACTGTGAGCTGCGGATTTTATTTGGAATATTTTTCGACTGTGACCAACGTGGTGGTGTGAATTGTAGATTCAGAAAATGGCGCGATGCCTGTTTTCGCAATGTTGGTGGTGCCCGTATGTGATTGAAATTGATCGCGTGGGCAACTGCAGATCTGTTGGTGACTTCTGCTACCATCAATGATGAACTGCATTCCTAATGTCAGACTATTTGTGTTAGCACTTCAGATGGCTACTGTATGCTTTAATGCGAGTGTATGCTAGATATGCTGAGACAGCAGTCTGTCAATCTTTCCACAAGGGACCTGTGATAAACATTCTGTGTGTGTTTTCGTTGGCACAGGAGCGGAGTAAAGATGGGGTGAACCGTTTGCTATGAAGCTGAAACTAAGACTACCAGACCAGACCAGACTGATCACTGACTGATTGAGAGTTTCAGATACAAGATATTAAGACACTTGCCAAAGGATAAAGCACATGCACACGCTGTTTTTGCGCCCATGAAATCCAGAAGCTAGTGAGACAAGCAAACAAGTATTCACGGCCAGCAGGGAATGACACATTCCCCGCGTACCCGCTCTACAGGATCCCCGCCATCATATCCGCATGTTGTCTTATCTGTACAGCGCAGACTAATTGAGACAGATTATTAAATTACCAGGGGGTCCCTGTCTGTCTGTGTATGGCACTGTAGGCATAGAAGGCCATAGGGGACTCATCTGCTTGATGGCAATGGCGGGAACGCTAACGATGATTGTGAACGTAAGATACTAATTGTAACCATGGGGATGATGATGGTGATGATGTTGATGATGCTAATTGGAATGATGATGATTAACGATTGCTCAGAATGTCAAAGTTTTATTTAATGAAAGAAAACTAGGGGAAACAAAAGAAGATGACTGTATATTTATTACTTCCCATGATGTTTAATGGTACCCTTTTTAGAAAGGGTCAACACTGCAAGCTGAATTTCACTATAAAAGCGCCTAAATATAGATTGGAACCCAAGACAATCAGACGCATTAGAGGGAACACATAGCGAAAAACCGTGTAAGAATGCAATAAGAAATTCCACTCTGTTCAGGACAGCATAAAAATCGTCATCATCAGTAAGTGCTTTGCTGAACGGCATGGGCGATCATTGCTTTCTGCGATCTTCAACAAGATGTATCAGTTCGTATGCTGACATAAGGTAAAGCTAAAGTAAAGGTGAGATGATCGACTTCATTGCACCGGTTTTATCACATATGGCTCAGTCTCTCTCTGCAGTGCAGCCAGCTGCCAGATGATTGTGTCACACAGACCACTAGTTCCGTAGCTACGGCGACGATCCCAATGATCTTCGTAAAAATTGCACTGGTGAACTAAACGGCGAAGCCGTGAAACGAACCCGCGACCTTCAGAGAGCGAGGCAAACGGCTTGACCACTTCGCTACGGAGCACCCATGCTGATAAATAGAGTGGCCCTAAAGTTTAGACACGTAGGTCAATTTATTAACTATAATTTTATCACATTGATTTCAACTGAATTTTGCACGGCACATTAACCTTTACATCGTAGCGTATCCTTTACATGATGTTGCAGAACCAACCCCAGCAGCTTCTGGCTGTTGTGTGGTTTCTCTGGGCAAATTTACTTTCAGTAGTTTGCCATTGCTCTTTGGACGGTCGGCCACCTGATACCACTATCGAAACCAACGCAAGGCTCATGGCCCGCAGCTGGGATCGAACCCGACACCCTGGCATTACGAAGCGTTCGCATCGACTTAGCCACGGAGCCGACTAAATCAAACTGAAGGCGTTATGTAATCTTCCAAATGAATAAAATGTTAATAAACTTTATTTCCTCAAAATTTCTCCATGACCCTATTATAGGGAAAACTAGAATTGACCCACTGCTTATCCAAAAGCATGTCTTAAGAGTCGACTAATTAAGAGCTTTCTCCGAAATCGGAGTGTATCTGCTTGAGAGGCAAGGAACCAGCAGTCTGCATACAAATGAGTCAGATCTGTAAAACGGATGCACACGCAACACTCAGGTTGTGAAACAGGACTGCAGTCCAGAAGTTGACGAACAACCATAACTTTCCGCCAGAGTTTACAGCTGGTGAACGCAAAGAAGAAAAAGAAGAAAGAAGATTACCTCAAAATAGGTATTCTGCCTATATGTCCAGATAGAGAAATGTGTGTAGAAATATAAACAGATTAAAACTAAATGAAGAGAATGCTGAAAACAATAAAGACAGAGGCGAATGATTAAAGCAGAAGATACGAGGTTCTGGCGTGAGTCGGTTCAGTGCTTATGGTCCTCTGCGAACGGTGGAGACAAATCAAAAGATAAAGAAAGAACGACGATATCACTGATAAACACTAAAGCTCCTTCGTTCGACT